TTACTCCCTTCTCACCATGGCGCCAGACACTAGGTTTACTCCCTTCTCACCATGGCGCCAGACACTAGGTTTACTCCCTCCTCACCATGGCGCCAGACACAAGGTTTACTCCCCCTCTCACTATGGTGCCAGACACAAGGTTTACTCCCTTCTCACCATGGCGCCAGACACAAGGTTTACTCCCCCTCTCACTATGGTGCCAGACACTAGGTTTACTCCCTTCTCACCATGGCATCAGACACTAGGTTTACTCCCTTCTCACCATGGCGCCATACACTAGGTTTACTCCCTTCTCACCATGGCGCCAGACACTAGGTTTACTCCATTCTCACCATAGTGTCAGACACTAGGTTTACTCCCTTCTCACCATGGTGCCAGACACTAGGTTTACTCCATTCTCACCATAGTGTCAGACACTAGGTTTACTCCCTTCTCACCATAGTGCCAGACACAAGGTTTACTCCCTTCTCACCATGGCGCCAGACACTAGGTTTACTCCCCATCTCACCATGGTGCCAGACACTAGGTTTACTCCCTTCTCATCATGGCGCCAGACACAAGGTTTACTCCCTCCTCACCATGGCGCCAGACACTAGGTTTACTCCCCTTGTCACCATGGCGCCATACACTAGGTTTACTTCCCTTGTCACCAAGGCGCCAGACACTAGGTTTACTCCCTTGTCACCATGGTGCCAGACACAAGGTTTACTCCCATCTCACCATGGCGCCAGACACTAGGTTTACTCCCATCTCACCATGGTGCCAGACACTAGGTTTACTCCCTTCTCACCATGGCGCCAGACACAAGGTTTACACCCTTCTCACCATAGTGCCAGACACAAGGTTTACTCCCTTCTCACCATGGTGCCAGACATTAGGTTTACTCCCTTCTCACCATGGTGCCAGACACTAGGTTTACTTCCCTTGTCACCATGGTGCCATACACTAGGTTTACTCCCTCCTCACCATGGTGCCAGACACTAGGTTTACTCCCCCTCTCACCATGGTGCCAGACACTAGGTTTACTCCCTTCTCACCATGGTGCCAGACACTAGGTTTACTCCCTTCTCACCATGGTGCCATACACTAGGTTTACTCCCTTCTCACCATGGTGCCAGACACTAGGTTTACTTCCCTTGTCACCATGGTGCCAGACACTAGGTTTACTCCCTTCTCACCATAGTGTCAGACACTAGGTTTACTCCCTTCTCACCATGGTGCCATACACTAGGTTTACTCCCTTCTCACCATGGCGCCATACACTAGGTTTACTCCCTTCTCACCATGGTGCCATACACTAGGTTTACTCCCTTCTCACCATGGTGCCAGACACTAGGTTTACTTCCCTTGTCACCATGGTGCCATACACTAGGTTTACTCCCCATCTCACCATGGTGCCATACACTAGGTTTACTCCCTTCTCACCATGGCATCAGACACTAGGTTTACTCCCTTCTCACCATGGTGCCAGACACAAGGTTTACTCCCCATCTCACCATGGCGCCAGACACTAGGTTTACTCCCCTTCTCATCATGGCGCCAGACACAAGGTTTACTCCCCTTCTCGCCATGGCGCCAGAGACTAGATTTACCCCCCTTCTCACCATGGTGCCAGACACAAGGTTTACTCCCTTCTCACCGGGGCGCCAGACACTAGGTTTACTCCCCTTCTGATCATGGCGCCAGACACAAGGTTTACTCCCCTTCTCACCAGGTGCCAGACACAAGGTTTACTCCCCTTCTCATCATGGCGCCAGACACAAGGTTTACTCCCCTTCTCACCATGGTGCCAGACACAAGGTTTACTCCCTTCTCACCATGGTGCCAGACACAAGGTTTACTCCCCTTCTCATCATGGTGCCAGACACAAGGTTTACTCCCCTTCTCACCATGGTGCCAGACACAAGGTTTACTCCCTTCTCACCATGGCGCCAGACACTAGGTTTACTCCCCTCACCAGGTGCCAGACACTAGGTTTATCCCCCTCACCATGGCACCAGACACTAGGTTTATCCCCCTCACCAGGTGCCAGACACTAGGTTTACCCCCCTCACCAGGTGCCAGACACTAGGTTTACCCCGCTCACCAGGTGCCAGACACTAGGTTTACCCCCCTCACCAGGTGCCAGACACTAGGTTTACCCCCCTCACCAGGTGCCAGACACTAGGTTTACCCCCCGGGCTTTTATGGAAGTTGGAACCCGAAGACTTGGATCAGGACCCGTAGAATAGTTCTTCAGCAACCCATGCTTTCAGTGAAAGGCTACTATGCTTGTCGTAAAAGGCAACTAACGGGATCGGGTGGTCAGGCTCACCGACTTGGTTGATACATGTCATCGATCCCAATTGCTCATGATGTCAATCTCTGGATTGTCTAGTCCAGACTCGATTATTTACAGACCGCTGTCATGTAGCTGGAATATTGCTGAATGCGGCGTTCAACAACAAACAAAAACTTGCATTAGATTGTTTTGGCAGGTTCCAACTGTTCTTCAAGTAGCCAAGTCAAGGACTCATCACACATTATTAGAGCTGTCACAGTTGGTTGTTCACGACTGATAACTGAAGCAAGTTTTGACCCATGACCAAATTGTCAGTGGATGGATTCACATGAAATCAAAGTATTTCTTTCTCTTTTACTCAAGCACCTGTTTTGCGGATCCTATTTTTTCATGACCCATGGAGATCTGGGTTAGAACAAGTCTTCAGCAACCCATGCTTGCCATAATAGGCGACTTACGCGATCAGGTGGTCAGGCTCGCTGACATGGTTGATGCATGTCATTGTATCCAAATTGCGTAAATCGATGCTCATGATGTCAATCACTGGATTGTCTGGCCGTCATATAGCTGGAATATTGCTGCATGTGGCGTGTTACAACATACAAACAAACAAACAAACATGATATAATGGACGTCAAGTTTGCTTCCTCTGCTAAAAGTGGTAAGTAATGACCAGACCCAAACCTATGTTTCAACCACGGCCTCACTCCGTTAGTTAGTACTGATGCACTCCACACCCATGAGGTACGCACGAACAAATACCCAACTACGGGAGGTAGCCACTCCTTGGCTAGTTCACCATTGCCGGACAAGTGTTGACTCTAGGTTCCATCCTTGCTTCCTGACTGTTGATACGTTTCCGTGTAAATGTTTAGCATTTACATTTTCATAATCACTTTTGTGTATAAATAATTCAAATTAATCGTTGCAATAATCAAATTTTATGTTTTCTTCTTACATCCAGGAGTTGTGTGATGTTTGTATTTTGTAATGGTCACTACAATCAGTTCCTGTTGAATTGCATAGAAATGTTGCAGGATTCGGTCTGAGACTTTGTTCAGTTATAACCAACAACATTTTGAAATACTCAGATTTGTTGAAAAAATGTTTCCTTCAGATGGACTTTGATTTGTTCTTGAAACAATGGAAATGTTCCTGTTACTATTGTTGTTTTACATGTCTGATGGTGATGGTGATACAGTATGTCTCCAAGATATTCTGATTTTGTGTAACTAGATTTGCTGAAATACAGTTGTTTTGTCTGGAAATGTGTTGTGAATCCTGTCGGAATCTTCTTGTGGAAGTACGACATATGCAGGCTGTTGGGAGTCTTCTTGTGGAAGTACGACATATAAAGGCAGTGAGAGTCTTCTTGAGGAGGTACGACATATGCAGGCTGTGGGAGTCTTCTGGTGGAAGTACGACATATAAAGGCAGTGAGAGTCTTCTTGTGGAGGTACGACATATGCAGGCTGTGGGAGTCTTCTGGTGGAAGTACGACATATAAAGGCAGTGAGAGTCTTCTTGTGGAGGTACGACATATGCAGGCAGTGAGAGTCTTCTTGTGGAGGTACGACATATGCAGGCTGTGGGAGTCTTCTGGTGGAGGTACGACATATGCAGGCTGTGGGAGTCTTCTTGTGGAGGTACGACATATGCAGGCTGTGGGAGTCTTCTGGTGGAGGTACGACATATGCAGGCAGTGAGAGTCTTCTTGTGGAGGTACGACATATGCAGGCTGTGGGAGTCTTCTGGTGGAGGTACGACATATGCAGGCAGTGAGAGTCTTCTTGTGGCAGTACCACATACGTAGGCAGTTGGAGTCTTTCAGTCATACAGCTCACGACTGCTCACATCAGCAAGATCCTCTGACAGAGATGCGGAAGTAAGACACATGCACTTTTTTCCCACCCTCCAACACTGCTACTCCTTGGGATTCCGGGTTACAATACGTCCAAGTGAGTGAGTCGGGTATTCCAGCTATATCACAGCGTGTCTGTCAGCTTAATGTGGGAGGAAAGCCCATAGTGATGCAGGTCTCGGACGTTCAATGTGTCCAAGGCAATCTGTGTTTGATGTTGGGGGTGTAGCAGTGGTGTGGGCTATTGCTCATACAGTCATCTCCATCACTGATTTGTCACACTTGATGATATACAGGGAGCCATCACGCTGGACTATCGCTGAATGTGGCATTAAACAAACACATCTTAATGCTACAGCACCCGTCACCTCCACCATCAGCAGCTCCCTACACAGAACTCGGAAACCAGGCAAGGGAGATGGTTAGGTTTATGTGCAAACACAAAGATGATCACCAATGAAATGAAGTAGGGCTACCAACAGGACTACCCGGACCTGTGGTTAGTCACGTATTCACGTAATATATTGTTTAAAGGCAAAAATTCATTTAAATGCTGGCATCATTAAACTCTGTGTATGTGTGTGTGTGTGTGGCTTTGAAAATGTCCGTTTCTGAAGCATGTTTACCTATATACGGGCTTGAAACATATTTGCAAATCAAACATGGAAGGGTTTGTCTGAAATATGCTACACAACTTTTGTTTAGGATACTGAGCTATTTCTTTGTATTTTGAAACGTGAGGACAGATATATACTTAAGTTTGTTTAGACCTTTACATGCACGCTGGAATATTGTTCGTAATACAACCTCCAGACTATCTTGAGTAGCATACACCAACAGATGACAGAAGAACACTCAGCATGTTGAATGTTTTATTGTACAATGAGACGTACATGAGCGTGGTTGCATGGCTATACACAGTGCGTGTAATGAGTTCTGTACACTACAGGACTGGGGCGACTCACGATACAGTGCGGGGTACGAGGTGAGGTCACGATATGATACATATCAGTAACCAGAGGGATACACAGGATGTCACAATAAGATTAAGAAAATATTCTGGATTTTAGATTCTTGTGGAAATTTAACAAATAGGATGTCAAAAGGCTTAAATCTGAAATAAACTGCCTGTGTGACGGGTAACACTAACATACTATTAACTATACAATGTTTTGTTTTGTATAGATACTGCAATATGATAGACCTATCGATGCTTGATGGATATTGTGAATCGTCCCACAACTAGTACAATATGAAGGACACACATGGGATGTCTGTCCACCAGCACTACACTGAGTGGGTGAGAGAGTAGACTCGCTATGAGGGACTACACCCGCTATGAGAGAGTACACCCGCTATTAGAGAGTACACCCGCTATGAGGGAGTACACCCCCTATGAGAGAGTACACCCCCTATGAGGGAATACACCCGCTATGAGAGAGTCTGCTACATGTGGAGTCCCCCGAGTCTGCTACTGTTCAGACTTACCTCTCCACAACTTTGTAATTATCTGCACATATTAACAATGATTGGGTGATCAACATCTGACCAACACAGGCCAACAAAGGACACACTTACAAAGGTCTTTAGGTGAGAATGTGTCTACTTTCTTAACATAAGACATAATTTAATACAGCATCTTAAGCTTCAAAGTGTACAGTGGACACGTTCTTTCTGTACACCTTAAAGCTTTGGAAGAATTCTTTGCTGATGTGGAAATCGCAGAAATGAGACTAAAGGCCTGAATGACCTCCAACATGACCCCACAAGGTCCTCCTCCTGTGACACTACGATGAATGCAACTAACTACCAATGGCGCCATCAGATGAGTTTCAATGCAACATACTATACAGAACATGATACCACCAAGATGTGTTGGGTCGTGATTGGACATTTGCACAAAGGTCTCGTCCACATTTCTATCCAGATCAAAGATTGCCATAACAATATCATATGTCACCATGAGGGCATGTTTTTCAGGTCATCAATATCTTGTATCGTACAAAGCCCCTGTCCCCCCCCCCCAATTATTAACCATAACCCTTGTTTGAGAAACGAAATGGTAATAGGATTTTCAACTCTTCAGTCACAAGTTGTGAAGGGTTTAACAGTTAATGCAATTCATAATCTCTTTTGTGCAGGTATCAAGGGTTAAAATGAGTCGGTTCAATGTTTACATAAAACAAACACGACAACATACAGGTGATTTCCCCTCGTACAATGTATACCATCCCTTAATACTACCGTCACGTACGTACCAGTCTGTACAGACGACCTCCGTGGGGAGCCATGCACTCTGCACTCATCGGAATACATATATGTACATCTGTAGTCCTTGAACATTTCAGGGCATGGCATATTTACACAGCTCATTGGATGCATTCGCCATGAAGGTGTCACGACTTGGACATCTGATGGTGAGATGCTGACAGAACTGAGGAGTTGTTTGGCCTTGAAATGTTGACAATAATTCAGTACAACGCAGGGAATAGCAATTCTTGGAATGAAATCTTTATGTACTCTCACGCTTTGATTTTCTTTGGTTCAAACCAACATCAATTCAAAAGAAACTTTGCATTAAAAGTCAGGTTTAGATTTCTACGTGTGCTGACTGGCAGCATCTGTTGTGAATAATGAAGGTAATCTCCCACTTACACTAAGGTTAAAAGTCATCATGGAGTTACCTCCCCTTGATTGACTCGCACACCCGGTACAAACCAAGCATGGGATGCTATTCACTGCCAGTAATCTTCACCTACACCAACACAATGTTTGTTTCATTTCATGTTGCTCCAGCCGACTCTAATCAAGGGGAAATAACTCTAATTGGTCCAGCATAGTTGAGTCATAAAACAAACATCTTTATAAAACCGAAAATAAAACCAACAACTGTTGCAAAAGCCACAACATGTGCAATAAATAGCATATAAATAAATACATGTAAAATGAAAGACCAGTCCGAACGAACAATAACTTAAATCTGATATGTTAAACCAGCCAGTTTGAGTCGCCTGCCATGACATCATCGTCATAAACTCTCCTCTCCCCAGCGCTCAAACTGCTGCACTACAGACCGATCCAACATGTCTCTTGGATAAGCCGGCTCGTCTTTAATCCAACTGTGCTGTCCAGTGTTGTAGAAATGTTATGTACAGTGTTAAGACCGACTGAGCACCTCCAGGAGACATGTGGGAATGTCCCTACCACAGGTAAAACAGCTGTTTGGGCACTGGGATGTATTGCACCAAATAAAGTTGGGTCAGCCAAGAAATATCACAAGTTGCACCCCGACACTGAGGAGATGTCCCGGCAGGGAGGAATCACAGACAGACTGTACTCTAACTGTTCCAGGAACTTCAATATTTGTTCGATATTCCTTGATATAGATGCCTAAGACCTTCTTACAGAGGCAGGCATTTTGACATTTTTTAAACAAAAGCTTGGGATGTGAGTGAGTCAGTGAGTGAGATATTTGGGTTTAACGCCGCTGTTAACACTATTCTAGTTTTATCACGGCGTGTCAGCTTGATGTGGCAGGAAGTGATGCAAGTCTTAGACGTTTACCACTTCGGTGAAACCCACAAGCATGATGCTGACCACAATCATAGGTTTCTGGTGTGCCCAAAGGACGCAACTCTGCACAGTGAATCACGGCACCTAAGACGACTTGGCCAGCCATGATCCCCTTGGGATTTGAGAAGGTGTCTACAACTTGTGATATTTCTCAGTGCTTCAGACTGTCAAGACTGCAGCTGCTCCAGCTACGCCGCCGCCTAGAGTAGCGCTTTGTTAGACTCAGACTACGACTACGGAAACGCGACCTTGACCTTGACCTGGAGTATGACCTATAGCTGTCGTCGGAGCTGGGGGAGGGGGGAGAGGGCCTGTAGTAGGGGACTGGTCGTTTTCTTGCACTGGAAAGGAAAGACAAATTATTTGTTAAACACTGACAGCAATTTCTTTCAGAAATGACTTTCATCCACTTCAGCTTCTTTGTTGCCACATCACTGGCAAAGTCAGCAATTATTGTAATATTAAATTTGTAAACATTACATATCCATAGTAATATTCGCAATTTTACACATACTCAAGAAAACTAAGTCTATTTTCATGATGTTGATAGACACTCAATAGAGAAAGAAAGAAACTGAGCCACACTTTCATAATTTTTTCTTTCACATATTTATTCCAGTTTTCCACACAAGGTCAGTCAAAATCAAAATCAAAATAAATAGCGATGTCAAGCATTTATTTAATTACATGAAAGTCATTCTGCAGTGGAGTTCACACTGCAGTTGGCTTCTTGAAGTTTGAATGGAGATGAAGACATGGAATTTGTATAATATTTTATATTGTATAAGAGGGTCTATCATTCTAGCAGAGACATAATAATAAATAAATTTGTTTATGTTTAATTTATTTCTTTTCCAGCTGTTTTTCAGTAGGGGCTGCTGGCCCATGAAACGAAAAATAAAAAAAAGTGTGGCCTTAACAAAAAAACATTATTCAATCTCTGGTAGGACAGTCAGTACTTTCAGTAAAATAACACCTATATAAAATGTTAGCGAGAGAAACTAGTGTTTGAGATAGCAAATGTATTGTGTGGCATTAAACTGCATGTGTTACGGACTGTTAAACACAGCAAGAAACACTATTTAGATTATGTCACAGATGGTGCGACGATCAACATCCAACACCAAATATACCAGCAAAATAATATCATGCACCAAAATAATATCATGCACCAAAATAACATAATACAGCAAGAAACATCACGCAGCAAGAAACATCACGCAGCATGCAAAACATGATGCTGAAGCTGCATCAGCCACATGGTTCAGCAAGAATGATCCAATGGTTTTAAACATGTTTGTTTGTTTAATGTTGCTCTCAGCAAAATTTCAGCTATAAGACGGTGGTCTGTAAATAATAGAGTCTGGACCAGACAATCCAGTGATTGACAGCATGAGCATCAATCCACGCATTTGGGGTACGATGACATGCATCAACCAGGTCAGAGAGCCCGACCATCTGATCCCGTTAGTCCCCTTTTTAATGGCAAGCATGGGTTGCTGAAGACCTATTCTACCCCGGACCGTAACACATGTAACACATGTAACACCTGTAACACATGTAACCTGCATGGAGTTCTTATTCTCAGGGTTCTCACTCGGGGGTGGGGGGGGGGGGGGTGGGGGAGCTGCCCAATTAATTATAAGGGTCCTTGCAGGCAATATGAGGGTCCTTGCAGGCAATATGAGGGTCCTGTATGGTAATGTAATGGTGTAGAGTACTGTATGTTTAGATAGTTACTTTAGAGCCTGAAATGAATCAATGATCATGTGGATAGTGGTCGTGATTGATGGATGAAATAACAGACACCCATAAATGACGCAGTATATTCTTTTTCTGCGTCCAATCCCTACACTTGTGCATCACCTAAAACCTTGTATACTTGTTGAACACCAGAGAACAGTGCAGTGAATCTAACAAAACTTTCGGGAATAACTGATGTACATCAGTGAACAGTCTTTGAAATCAGGCCCAAATAGGCCATGAACATCTGTCCGTGTCATGGCCCTGAGGACTAACTATTCAGGGTCCCCAGAGTCTGATACAACAGATAATCTCAACGCTGCCAATGGTGTGGGGCTTTGCCTGTTTCTAGTCACTGGTTTTCCAGGTCTTGATTATTTACAGGGTGAGGTTATACACTGGAATAGTGCGGACTGATTATTTAGCTGATGACGTAATACACTGGAATAGTGTACTCCAATGTTAGTGCTGTATTCCATGTATCCATTGCAATGTCAATACACTTTTTTTAGTTTGTAAAAATTAATAACCAGTTTACCGAGTGTACAGGGTACAGCTGACTAGCCTTACTGGAAGTGGGATTAGTGATGTCATTTGATTGTGATGTCATGATAACCAATGACATCACAATGGTCTGCACGGCATTGTGCTGCAGTTTCATTGTAGCAATATCTGCCAGGATCTCACCCAAGCCCTATCTCCTGTGGAAGCCAGGGTGGGATAATAAAAGCACTTTCCTGTGCCTCCAAACAAACTCAAATCACACATGTTTTCAGAAATATATAATGCATGCACAAGTGTAACAGTAATCATCCACTTCAGCTTCACACACATCTGCCGATGCTTCCACTCTGTTAGTGTCAATGTCACAACCACATCACGCAGCGTTCCAGAGTTACTAAACTAATCCACTCATTCTCAAGTTATCAGCTATTGGGGCTCATCTCAAACTGCCATACATCAGACACATGGCTTCCCATCAACCCTCATCCTGTCTGACAGCAGGGGTTAGTAGGTTGTGTTAGGCATTAGTAGTAGAAACTCTGCAAGCCAACTGCAAACAATGAATACCATGTTGTGGCTTGAGCTGCTTCATTCTTAGTATCTGTCTCGTGGACGTTTACTGGAACGATAATATGGAGAAGGGGAGCATCGCCGGTTGTACGATCGTGACCGGGATCGACGGCGGTCATCATACTTCCGTTCTCTGGATCTCGACCTAGACACCAAACAGCAAGAAAAACAAAAACAAAAATAAAAGAAGGTGGAAATAAAACAACATGCTAGGACAGAGGATTACAACACCCAAAAGAAGATTGTAACTTTATACAAAACCAAATGAGAGTAAAACAGGAGCAATCAAAGTGTAGCAACTAGAGAGGTGCATTTATTGATACTGACTCCGATGTGTGACATGTGGCACAACACTGAACACACATCACTGTAAGGAATGAGCTGACCTTCCCACAACAGATGCTGAAAGGTGCTAGAAAAATGAATACATGGACAAACTAAAGGCACTTGTGTAAGGGAAATTCTTCATTTATTTCTCTCTGAGACTGTGTCTGACATGGATCTGTATGGAGGACCCCCCACCTTGTTATCCGGCGTTTATCTAAGTGACTCGGTGAGCCTTTCCTTCTCCGGATCGAAGGGCTGCGTGATTCTCGGCGCCGAGAGTCATGGCTCGGGCTGCGACTGTACGACCGTCTTCGACTGTGAGATCGAGAATGGGAGTAGCTCCTTTCCCTGGATTCAGTAATTCATCAACATTAATCAACATTCAACATTACTCATGGACATTCATGCCCAGGAAAACAAGGCACAGACAACTAGTGGTTGATAGTGTTATCAATGATCACAGCTGACAGGACATGTGTGGTCATACTTCCCACAATTCATAGTCCCAGCAGCCCTTGCTGCCAACTGCTCGTCATTGAGTTTATGGCCATGACAAGCACTGGGAACAAGCCATCTCAAGTGTCACAAAGTTTGACATCGGGGAAATTATAGTCTGAGTAGAAAGGAAACATAAAAGTAAAAAACTATCAGAGAAATAGTTCCTATAGAACTAAGTGTGTCAATAGATCTTATTACAAACACAAAAGACTACCTTCCAAGTAAACATTTGGACCTAACAACAAGTTTTAGAATATATGCACTGGTGCATTTGCTCACAATCACAAAGTCTATACCAAGATAATGCATAAATATTATGAAAGCAAACAATCAGAACTTTGTCATACCTCTTTCGGGAACGACTTCTGGATCTGGAATAGGATCTCGATCGTGACCGAGAATTGGTAGGCGACCTTGAACTTCTCCTTGACCTCTTCACTGGTGACCTCTTCTTCTGCTTTGAAGGTGACCTGGATGTGGACCTGGAGTGTCGCCTCTTCTCTCCATGTTTGGGAGACCGACCTCTTGAGGATTCTTTGCTGCATTTGGTTTTGTACGGTGACGACTTTCCCCGTCGTCGGTCAGCAGGAGAGTAGCTCAAAGACTTGCTTCGATTTCTTTTCGGTGAAGGGCTTGTCTTGCCATTTCTGGGCTTGTTGTCTCCTGACTTGGAGTTGGCGTGCCCATTTTGTCTTGCTGATCTGTTGACAGGAAGATGGTAAGTTTCCCAAGCACAATTCACATCAACAAAATAGTTTTCAGCGAATAACAAAATGACAAGACGTTACAAATCAGAAACCTGAACTGCTCAATTTTTCATGCTTACAACAAATATAATAAACTTTCAAGTCCTACTCTCAAAACAGATTCAATTTAGGATATTTAACTAAATATCATTTGTCAAATTTTGTAGGCAAAGGTTTTATGATTCACTACACAGACAAATCTTTGAGGAAGACTGTTCCTACCTTGGAGGGGATTTGTCCGATTCCGATTCCGAATTGGCTCTCTTTGATCTGGATGCAGGGGAAGGTCGGTGCTCTGGGGGGCAAACCCTGTCAGCAGGGGGTTTAGCTGGGGAGGGTGAGTGATGGGAGGACTTCCTTGTCTTTCCATTTCTGTCGGGGGAAGCTGCCGAGGAGGAACTGTAACAAGGAAAAGGCCAAGGTCATATAACATTCAGGTCAAAAGTTACACAACCTTCCAGCCAACAAGGTCAAGATCATATAAGATTCCAGTCAACAAGGTCATGGTCAAACAAAAGTCCTTGGAAAATGGTGAAAATACATTGGAACTGTCTATACATGCTTTCCTGTAGAAGGTGGAATCAGGACCCATCATAAAACAAACATAGGGAGTTGTCTACACATGCATGTCTTTGTCCTTCATTGTTTTCAAATATCTTTACATCTTGATCATGTTACGCCTTATTTTCCCTTGTACTGCTGGCTGAACAACCAAGACTAACGGAAGGGTGGGTGAGTGAGTGAGTGAGTGGGTGAGTGAGTGAGTGAGTGAGTGGGTGGGTGGGTGGGTGAGTGAGTGAGTGAGTGAGTTTTTATTTGACGCCGCTTTTAGCAATATATCCTCAACATCACAGCGGGGGACATCAGAAATTGGCTTCATACATTGTAACCATGTAGGGAATCGAACCTGGGTCTTCAGTGTGACGAGCGAATGCTTGAACCACGAGGCTACCTAACCGCCCCTGGGACTCGCATCTGCAGTGTTCATATTTGGAAATCTAAGGCGGCCACCAGATAACCCTATTCTATGTGGAATTCCAATGACAACATGCTGATCAATACTACCTACAGTCAATATCGGAAATCAATTATCTTCCAACATCAAGTGTACAAAATGTAATTGTCACTTAATAATACATTATTCAGTATACTGAACGATTGCGAAACAGGACAACTCTGTAAGAACTCGTGCACATGTTAGACTGGGTGTTTTCAGTTGTTTTCAGCGCAACCAAATTTCAACAACACAAAATCTGAAAAATGAGAAATATTTTTTCTTTCCCTTGTCATTAGTGGTTCACCACGTCATGTGACTGTCCAGTCTCCTACAATATCACTAAAAACAGCATGTTTTAAATTGTTATTTTATTTGTTTTTCATCTTCTCAATACCTCGAAATGATGTGATTAAATACAGAAGATTTAGTTGTTGTTTATCTAGAAACTGTTTCCACGTTGTGTTTCAATGACAACCACATCACTCAAGACAAATAAAATATCTGTGTAAACTGCCGCAAAAATCTTTTCAACATTTCCTGGTGAACAAAAAGAACTGATGAGACTCTTAATATGAGAACCACTGAGTGAGTGAGTGATCGAGTGAGTCAGTGAGTGAGTGAGTGAGTGAGTGAGCGAGCGACAGTGATTGGCCGAGTGTGAGTGAGTGAGTGAGCGAGTGAGTGAGTGAGCCAGTGTGTGAGTGAGTGAGTGACTGAGTGAGTGAGTGAGTGTGTGTGAGCCAGTGTGTGAGTGAGCGAGTGAGTGAGTGTGTGAGTGAGCCAGTGTGTGAGTGAGCCAGTGTGTGAGTGAGCGAGTGAGTGTGTGAGTGAGCCAGTGTGTGAGTGAGCCAGTGTGTGAGTGAGCGAGTGAGTGTGTGAGTGTGTGAGTGAGCCAGTGTGTGTGTGAGCCAGTGTGTGAGTGAGCCAGTGTGTGAGTGAGCCAGTGTGTGTGAGCGAGTGAGTGAGTGAGTGAGTGAGCCAGTGTGTGAGTGAGCGAGCGTGTGAGTGAGCGAGCGTGTGAGTGAGTGAGTGAGTGAGTGAGTGAGTGAGTGAGTGAGCGAGTGTGTGTGAGTGAGCCAGTGTGTGAGTGAGCGAGTGAGTGAGTGAGCGAGCGAGCGAGTGAGTGAGCGAGTGAGTGAGCGAGTGTGAGTGAGTGAGCGAGCGAGTGTGTGAGTTAGTGAATGAGCGAGTGTGTGAGTGAGCCAGTGTGTGAGTGAGCGAGTGAGTGAGTGAGGTGAGGTGAAATTGGGTTTAACGTCGCGTCCAAGATTATTGCACTTATATAGCGACGTGCATGCACGTGTATGTGTGTGTGTGGCTGCTTGTACTAGTCCGGACTGATGCCGATTTATAGTGCTAGCTCACTGAGATACCATGCCGCAGTTTAACATGAATACCCCACTCAGACACAGTATACTGACTCCGAGCCGACCAGTCCTTGTTTTAGCCCCTTAATGCCGAGCGCCAGAGAGGGTAACAACAAGTACAATCTTTTAACGTCTTTTTGTATGACGCGGCCCGGGATCGAACCCCGGACCTTCCGCTCTCCGGGCGGACGCTCTACCACAAGACCACGGAGGCGGTCGAGTGAGTGAGTGAGTGTATGAGTGAGCCAGTGTGTGAGTTAGTGAGCGAGTGAGTGAGCGAGTGTGTGAGTGAGCCAGTGTGTGAGTGAGCGAGTGAGTGAGTGAGTGAGTATGAGTGAGCCAGTGTGTGAGTTAGTGAGCGAGTGAGTGAGTGAGCGAGTGTGTGAGTGAGCCAGTGTGAGTGAGCGAGAGTGAGTGTGAGTGAGTGAGTGAGTATGTGAGTGAGTGAGTGAGTGAGCATTTTAACAGTATGAGTGAGTGAGCGAGTGAGTGAGAGTGTGAGTGAGCGAGTGTTTGAGTGAGTATGAGTGTGAGTGAGTTAGCGAGCGAGAGTGTATGAGTAAGCGAGTGTGTGAGTGAGCATGTAAATGAGAGTGAGTGTGTGAGTGAGTATGTAAATGAGAGTGAGTGTGTGAGTGAGTGAGTGAGTGTGCATGAGTGAGCGAGTGCGTGAGTGAGCGAGTGAGAGTGAGTGAGAGTGAGTGAGCTTTTGAGAGTATGTGAGTGAGTGAGCGAGTGTGTGTGTGAGAGTGAGTGTGAGTGAGCAAGTGAGTGTGAGAGTGAGTGTGAGAGTGAGTGTGAGTGTGAGTGAGCGAGAGTGTGTGAGTGATGGAGTGAGTGAGTGAGCGAGAGTGTGAGCGAGTGTATGAGCGAGTGAGTGAGTGAGTGTGTGAATGAGAGTGAGTGAGCGGGAGTTTGTGAGGGAGCGAGAGTGTGTGAGTGATGGAATGAGTGAGTGAGCGAGTGTATGAGCGAGTGAGTGAGCGAGTGTGTGAGTGAGAGTGAGTGAGCGGGAGTTTGTGAGGGAGCGAGAGTGTGTGAGCGAGTGTGTGAGCGAGTGAGTGAGCGAGAGTGTGTGAGGGAGCGAGTGAGCGAGAGTGTGTGAGTGAGTGTGAGCGAGAGTGTGTGAGTGAGAGTGTGTGAGTGAGTGCGTGAGTGAGTGCGTAAGCGAGCGAGCGAGTGACTGAGGTATAACGCTGCTCTGATCACTATTCCTCCTATGTCATGGCGTGTCAGCATAATGTGTGAGTGAAGTTTAAAGTGATGCAGGTCAGAGACGGATACCACTTTGGTGAAACCCACGAGCATGGGTATGGTGCTGACAAACCTAAAAACACAATCAGGGCGAACCGGGATTCGAACCAATAATGACAGGTTTAAGGTGTGCCCAAAGGACACAACAAGGAATGACAGCGACTTGGACGACTTGGACGACGGCCACCGGCGCCCCACAGGCTTGTGGACATAAGATTACAGGTTACTTCAGATTTATCAGAAAGACAAAACTCAAAGTAATCAGAAAATCAGAAGTTAATCATTCCTTTCAGGTTCAATATCCAACGAAAATGAAAGGTTACCCCAATATTCAATTTATGACATTAAACACAAACTACAAAAAGAACAGAATAAAACAAATATTAACAAGGCAAAAGGTCAGCAGAGCTCACTAATACCCCCCAACCTTGACTCAAACATCAGCTGAACAATTTTGATTTTCAAGACATTGATAGCTTAATGTTTGAGCCAGTTTCTCTTAAAGTACAGTAATATACCCTAAGGTTAGCATGATTGACAGATGCACTGGAGCATCATCAACATGCTTTGCCCTTTTCAAATTATGAAAGTTTTCTCAGCAAATCCACTTATATTGAGTGAAATTTATTGAAATCAAACTTTTCACTGCACCTCTCATATAAGTAAAGAAAGTGCTCTCAAACTTTTCACTGCACCTCTCATATAAGTAAAGAAAGTGCTCTCAAACTTTTCACTGCACCTATCATATAAGTTAAGAAAGTGCTCTCAAACTTTTCACTGCACCTCTCATATAAGTAAAGAAAGTGCATCCAGGAAGTAGTTCTCAAGTAATAGTTCAAACAAATGTTGAAATAAAAATATTAAAAATAGCTGTATTTGTTTCAGAAAATGTAAATATTGAAATGAATCTTCGCACTGCAGCTCTCTTATTGGTGTAGAAATGTTCACAAAGTTTGAAAAGAATCATTGCAGTACGTTTTCAAGTTATAGGTCACATACAAAATGTCCTTGGAAGACCGGACGGATGGATAGAAGGAATTCCTGGGCACAACTATATACACTATGTACCACTACCCTTTTAGGTCAGGGGAGAAATAAACTGTAATATATCCCTGCTGGGATGCAGGCTGTCAGAGTGGGCTTGTCTTTTCAAACATGTCATGAGACTACATCAGGGTTTGAATGTCACTGAGTCTGATGGTCCACTGGTGCAGCCGTGACCCTTTTGTGACAAGCACACACGTGACTGGAGACCATTTCTGCCCTGGCCTCCCCATGGTGGGCTGGTCTTACAGTGAACCAATAGGAACAGGGTGGGTACACAGTCAGTCAGTCCCCTGACTGATTGTGCTCAGATTCCATAATTTATTCCCAGAACCTTCCCCAACTCTGTTGTGTCCAAGAACCCACCTTCCTGAGTCCGATTCAGAGTCCGAATCTGAGTCTGAGTCCGAGCTGGATGACTCTTTCCTTCTCCTCCGCTTCTTCTTTTCTTCACTCCTGTAAAATACAGTCACCTGCTAATCTCTCTACATACACCCACTCAGTGGATAACATTATATATACACTCTTGTAACAACTACCTGCTAATCTCTCTATATACACCCACTCAGTGGATAATATTATATATACACTCTTGTAACAATTACCAGCTAATCTCTCTACATACACCCACTCAGTGGATAATATTATATATACACTCTTGTAACAATTACCTGCTTATCTCTCTATATACACCCACTCAGTGGATAATGTCAGATATACACATTTGCAAACACAAATTTTACACTCTCTTCTGTGTGTGTGTGTGTGTGTGTGTGTGTGTGTGTGTGTGTGTGTGTGTGTGTGTGTGTGTGTGTGTGTGTGTGTGTGTGTGTGTGTGTGTGTGTGTGTGTGTCTCTCTCTGTCTCTCTCTCACTAATGCAAGGAATTCATTCAAGGGTATTTGTGAGTGAATTGGCAGAATGATGATTTCAACAGTTCAGTTATATGAAAACCTGACAGACGGACAGCACCGATTCCTATATCCCCCTTGCATTTAGAAGCTAGGCACTAGACTGCCATGATACATGTCTGGGCAAAGCACTCACTCTGAACTTACAAACAAGCTTACCTTTTTCGCCGTCTTTTACTTTTCTTATTTTTCTTAGATTCAGAGCTGAAAAAGAAAGATAATCAAATGAGATGGTGCTCCTGCTTGGAAGCCTGTGGGCCATGTACGTAACCAAACACAGTGCCAGGAGGACAAACACTCACAAATCAGGGTTACCTTCCCTTGTGGTCAAAACCAAAGTCCAGTTAGTCAACTACACTGTTCTATCAATACATGCAATTAGTAAGGTCAACTTTAATATTAGTATATTATTCATGTCCAGGGCTGCAATGTATTCTCAAGCGGATCTGGACAAGCACATAATTAAGATTGAGGTATTTATAGTAAGCAGATAAATGCCGTCAAGCTGACGTGTATCTGGTCAATCTTGAACAAAGCCTTGGTTACAGAAAGCATGCTTGAGAGATGTGTGACTAGCTGGCTATATGATCTTTATGTAGCAAGCTTGTTGATTTAACACTACCAATCTACAATAGATGCAATTCCCATGGCAACCTGACTTGTCAATGTTTGCCAGATGTGTCTTGAATCAATGGTGGCCATCTAGAGCCATTACTGGATATAATTTACAACAAGAAAACCATGCAGTGCCAGACTGATGTATCTGGACTTGGAGAAATTAGTGCTGATATATCTACACAGAAATTCTGTCCATAGAAAAATGCTGATCGAGGATAATCCATACCAGGTAAGAACGATTCCAGACAAGCACTATTCTTCCACTGGAAGGAATTTAAATATTTGAAAATATGTCCAACACTGTTCTATGGATATTGTAGCAAAATACCTATCACCATCCCCAATCCCGAATTCCAATATAACACACTGGAATAGAAAGAGATTTACTGTAACAGCAGCAGTTAATTGTAAACATTGTCTGCTATTCTTGACAGCGACGGATGTGATTAATTGTCTAAAACTGCCACAAATTATGCATTTTTGTTTGTTAGAGTTTATCCAAACTGGGTTTGAGACACAACGAAGTGAAGGGAAGAAAACAACAGATACATATATTTCTGTCTTACCTTATCTCTTACATCAAAAGCAGAGGGGGCATTCAAAAAAGGAGGCACACCGTATTGAGATGTACATGTATAGACGGCATGGTAGCTAGGTCACCAGTATGTCACCCACACTTCTCACTACCGTTAACTCTCCAAGGAAATACCTCATCCAAGTTCAACTGCCTTTCACGTTCACACATCTTACAATTTACTTTTAACAATAAAATAAAACAACTAAATGAGTATTTGAGTCAGTTAGAAAAGGTATTTTGTAGATTTGTGCCCCAAAACAAAATGGCAGCTACTTCCATCATTCCCCTAGTGGCGAACAGTTGAACTAGGAAAAGATAATCCACCCAGTAACTACTGTTCTACAAATGTTCTGATCTTCAGTTACAACAGAGCTACTGATGTTTGTATCGGAGTTTTTATGACATTCATTGATTCTGTTTGTCAGGAAGTTAGGCTTCTCATAGAATTGTTTGGTTTTATTAAGCGCTGACTCCATGAAATACAAATTATAGAAAATCAAAATTTACAATGATGTATTTTCCGTGTTGCTTGGAAAAAATAAGGATCATACAATAACTGAGACAATTACATGGAAATCATGGGCTGTTTTTCCCAAGTATGACTGATACAAACTTTTTATCACAATACTTGTATTTGAAATGATGATATTTTGACAGCATAAAATGGACATTCAATAACGACAGAATCAAACAATCTGAATAATAATTCATGACAGATAAAAAAACATCAAAATAAAAAGCCATGGAATACCTTATTGTTAGTGAGAAGATATATGTTATGCATGAATTCAAGACTGTATATCAATTTTAGTTTTCATCGAGCATACACTGTAATGGTACTTGATCACTATATTGTTGATTCACATGTGTTTACTAAGTGTTCGTGCACCCGACTTGACTCATCTACAAACCCATCACCGCCTATCGTCTAGGAAGCCAAACTGTTACAGCAGTATTGCTTTTAAAAACAAACCAACAAGTCTAGAGTGGAAAATATCTCTTTATATCTCTCCACAGAGTCAGAATACTGAGCACACAGCGTTTACATGTGACAAAAATACAGGAACATTTGTAATATCATTGGATGCATGCAACATAACTTGAGTTTAACAGAGACTTGACTGATGAACCGTGACGAAGATGATCGGCATATAAAAGTCTGAGTTGTACAATGATCAGAAATATTACCTTAGTCAACATGCCAGATAGCTATGATTTCAGTGAGTGAAAGGCATTGGAAAAAGAGAAAAAAACTTATAAATGACGAAATACATGTGTGAACATCTCCGACATCCCCTTGCCTTTAATCATAGAAACATCATCAACACTGTCGTTAGCTTACCTCTTGCCGGCGTGGATACGTTTGCATCACACAAATGGTGGAACATTAAGGATGTTTTGTGCAGTTAGATGCAATGCTTGCAGTATACATTTTATTTTTCATAGAGATTTTCTGTGGTTTATAATATGCATGTTAGTAAGAAGTCATTGTCATGCAAAAACTCATGATAGAGCTGAGGTGAAGCATGTAAGATGACAATGATGTAACAGCTGAAGGTAGGAGATATATAATATACAGCACAACTATTTAAGAACAAAATTAAGACATGTAAACCAAGTATTTGTATAGTATGTGAATATGAACATGAAGAAAAATAACATTCAATATTTTCCAAGTTTAACTTTTCTTGTATCATATTATAACAAAAAGCAAAATTGGCAAATAAGGATTTGTATTATTATTTTATACAGTATTGCTTTCAATTCAATGTGATCTTGAAATGAAATATATTATTTACATTATAATGCTTAACCATTGAGATACAAGTAGATAAATGTGAGTGCAAACACACGGAGGAAACACATTCATGTTGGTGGCTGCTTGCAAACCTCTAAGACAACCTACACTCTGAGCCAGGGAGTGAATGAAGCCCCTCACACATGATACACACCCATCTGTGGAGCAGAACATCTGACAAACATTCTGACCTGTCTCTTCAAGAGCGTACAGAACACTAGATCAATCATGGTCTAAGCCCATTTGAGCAGTTGTTAATTTGCAAAGGTGCCACACAACTCTTAATTCAATGTTTAAATCTCTCATGAGAATACAAGAATACCCCAACAAGAACATATGTTACCAATCTAATTCATCATGGTTTTGAACAGAAATACCTCAATCAAATATCCAGGTTTGAAATGTTCCTGATTTATTCTGCTCCAAAGTACAGGAAAACGTTATGAGAATGTGAGGAAAGATGAGGGAGAGACCCCCACATGTCGATAAGAACGTGATGTCACAGGCCGAACTGGCCGGCCACCAGCGTGTGGGAGCTATGCTCTTCAACACTTCACTTACACACGCATTTACCTTTACTTCACCGAACAAGATTAAACTTTGTCAACTTTAAACTATGAATAAACCTTTATATTAGCCATATATTTGAATGTGAAAGACTTGTGAAATAAAATTTGTAACTTGGATATCAATAAATTTGTATGAGGTAAAATGGCCGCTTTGGGGGCTTGTGGCTGCATCAAGTGTCTGACACATCTCCAAGGCAACAGCTGCTTTAACTCTAGTTCAAACTGAGTGTTTCTTGAGTTAGCAATTTGCAAACAACCACATGTAACCATGGCAACAAAGCAACAAAAGCACATACAACTTTTCCTCATTACAGAGTGCTGCAACAAATAAAACAAAAAGAGAAATGAGGGAATCAGATGTAATGAGTGTGAATTCGGGCAATAGGAATTAAATCCAAGCACATGTTTCAAAATCCTGCAGGCATCCTCCTCCACCGCCTGGCCCCCAGCACGAAGGATGGGGGCAACAAGAGAGTGGGTCTCTTGCACTGACAGACTTCTTGGGGCCTAACACAAGTTACCTCCTACCAAAACAAAACGGGGGGTATACTTCTTGGGACCCAACACAAGTTACCTCCTTCCAAAACAAAACTGGGGGTATACTTCTTGGGACCCAACACAAGTTACCTCCTTCCAAAACAAAACTGGGGGTATACTTCTTGGGACCCAACACAAGTTACCTCCTTCCAAAACAAAACTGGGGGTATACTTCTTGGGACCCAACACAAGTTACCTCCTTCCAAAACAAAACTGGGGGTATACTTCTTGGGACCTAACACAAGTTACCTCCTACCAAAACAAAACTGGGGGTATACTTCTTGGGACCCAACACAAGTTACCTCCTACCAAAACAAAAGGGAGGTAAACTTCTTGGGACCTAAGTTTGATCAGGAAAGCACCTTGCAACCAAACACAAGGGAGGAATGCATCTTGGGACTTAAGTCAAGTTCAGGAGGGAGGGGAGGGGAGGGCACCTTGCAACCAAACGCAGAAAGGGAGGAATGCATCTTGGGAGTCAGGTTGGGAGGATGTTAGGCTGGTGAGGAGGGCCATCACCATGTTGATGCGGGGGCAGCAGATGGTGGAGGATACGATGCTACATCCCTGTGTAGTTATCAGTCTGCAGTAAGGCAGACCAACCCATTAGATGACTGGGGCAGAAAGCTGAGAGATTGTTATACAGACATTAGAGTTCTATGAAGGACACTTTTGGACAGGAAGTGCAGATTTGTTATTCAGATTTGTGACTGCAGTACAGGGTATTAGATGTCGCCTGATACATACCAATGGTTGAATATATTCAACAAAGAAACTAAAACATTGACAATCGAAAAGTTGACTTTCATGTTGTAAGACCTGGGAGGAATTTAATTGCTAGTGCCCCAAATAACAAAATAAAAAATTCAACAGAAATATGAACAAAATATTGGCCAACATTTACCACAGTGCATATAGGTACATTTTTACTTTGGGTATGTTGATGCAAGTCATACCGTATCTGTTGCCACTAAAATCCATATACTTGGGTTAACAACAGTTATGGAGACAAATGGTGAAACTGCTGGATAGTTTCTGGGCAAGTAACACAATTACAAAAGTCCAGTAATAAAGCCTACCGATCATGTTTGTGCTTTTTCGATTTCTTTTTCTTTTCTCTTCGTTCAGGAGAGCTGCTGGCTTCTCTGCAATGAAAATGCAAAAAAATCTGATAAAGGTCGACCATAGTAGCTATCAGTGTCAAGACTGTTGATGAACACCACACTCAGCAGTATTTCAGCTTTTTGATGGCGGTAAAAAAATACAGTCAAACCCCGTTGTGTCAAAGTTGAAGTGACCTACGTGAATACTTTGAGTTATCGGAGGTTCGACACAAACGAAAAGGAGGACTAAAGAAGGAATATGCAAAGACCATGCTTTTATTTCAAGACAACTGTAAGTTCGACACATCAAAGTTCAACACAATTGTTATCAAGTCTGAACCAAATGATCCAGTGATTGATATCATGAGCTCAGATCTACTACAATCAAGTAATAACCAGTATTCAGCTATTACAAACATGTTCAAGTCCTATGTACACTTGTTGTAAGGGTTGTTCTGTTTGTTTGTTGTTTAATGCCACACTCGGCAATATTCCAGCTACATGATGGTGGTCTGTAAATAATCGAGTCTGGACCAGACAATCCAGTGATTGACATCATGAGCATCGATCGGATGTTCATGGGGGCAGTTGTTCTGTGAAGCTAAGGAGCAAGTGATTGTGACACAATATGACATGCAGATAATTACAAATTGAAATTATTAATACTGTGTCAAATAATATTTTACTATGAATAGAGTGATAAAAACAGTTTCACTCAAAGTCCGAACAAAAACTTCCACTAAATTGACATACTCATTACTCCAACGTGACTAGCTGGGACTTGACCTCAGGTCATTCCACAACAAACATTGTCTTTGTGCAACTCTACTCAGACACCATGCATCCCACTTCCATGAGCTATGGATGCTTCTTGTGATGTCATTGTTGACAGTATCGACACACAACATGCACATGGTTGATCTTTCAGGTAAACTGTCTGTGTCTATCATCCAGAACACAGAAACTGTCGTTGTGATGTCATTGTTGACAGTATCGACACACAACATGCACATGGTTGCTCTTTCAGGTAAACTGTCTGTGTCTATCATCCAGCACACAGAAACTGTCGTTGTGATGTCAATGTTGACAGTATCGACACACAACATGCACATGGTTGATCTTTCAGGTAAACTGTCTGTGTCTATCATCCAGCACACAGAAACTGTCGTTGTGATGTCAATGTTGACAGTATCGACACACAACATGCTCATGGTTGATCTTTCAGGTAAACTGTCTGTGTCTATCATCCAGCACACAGAAACTGTCGTTGTGATGTCAATGTTGACAGTATCGACACACAACATGCACATGGTTGATCTTTCAGGTAAACTGTCTGTGTCTATCATCCAGCACACAGAAACTGTCGTTGTGATGTCAATGTTGACAGTATCGACACACAACATGCACATGGTTGATCTTTCAGGTAAACTGTCTGTGTCTATCATCCAGCACACAGAAACTGTCGTTGTGATGTCAATGTTGACAGTATCGACACACAACATGCACATGGTTGATCTTTCAGGTAAACTGTCTGTGTCTATCATCCAGCACACAGAAAATGTCGTTGTGATGTCAATGTTGACAGTATCGACACACAACATGCACATGGTTGATCTTTCAGGTAAACTGTCTGTGTCTATCATCCAGCACACAGAAACTGTTCCTGAACTGTCAACTTCCAGATAGTTGCACAGCTGTCCCTAATCAAGACTGAGTGAGTGAGTGAGTGAGTGAGTGAGTGAGTGAGTGAGTGAGTGAGTGAGTGAGTGAGTGAGTGAGTGAGTGAGTGAGTGAGTGAGTGAGTGAGTTTGGTTTAAATAGGAAAGAAAATACAGGTGGCTGTGACATCCTCCTCAAGTTAAACATCAAATGTTGAAGGTGTCCCTAGAATAGCACAGACTCCTCCGACCATCATTACTTTATGACACTGGGTATGGAGCAGTGAGTATGGATTCTATATGCCAATTTTAGCAACATTCCAGCAATATTACGTCAGGGGACACCAGAAATGGGCTTAACACATTGCACCCATGTGGGAGCCCATGTGGGGCTTTCGGCGTGACAAGCGAATGCTTTAATACCAGGCAACCCCACCTCCCTGGGTAGGCAGCAGACAATCCAAGCTTCATAACCAGATCAAATCTGGGATCATGGTCACAAGATCCTTGTGTGTCTAAGGGTCGTAACTCTGTATGTATTGATGGTTGATGGAGTGTTAGTGTATATCAAGCCATGAAGTGATGACAATACCAACATTACAACATTCAAGCAACAACTCATGCTCTTTCAAACAATTCATGCCTTTCACAGAGATTATTGCAAACTTGATTCTACTGGACCAAAAACTAATGTCAGTGTTAGAGATACATACATATATCGAGATACCGAGAAGCAGCCAGTAGAGATAAAAGTGACACCCCCCCCCAATCCTTAAACTACAGTGCCCTGCATTCCACGTTGCCACGGTGAGGACGCCACCACTGAACTAGAGAACATGCACCTGGCTGTTAGGAAGAGCACTGACAAAGATGGGTATGTGAACACCAAGACCAAGATCGGCTCAGAACTGTGTTGACAGAACAACTAAGCAAGGTTTGTTCAGTGGATGCATCATATGGATTCCGCAAGCTACTACACCAAGCCTTACCTGCTTCCGTCTCGATGTTTTTTGCTTAGGAAGATAAACATAACATTATTAAAGCTTTTCACTACTTTGAACTACTCGGCTCATTACAGGGAATATACAGCAGGATACAAATATTGGAGGACAGGGATATGGTCTGGAGATCTCCTGTCAATGACCAGTAGCAGCCCATTACTTGAGTTGACAGTAAGATGCTCAATGCCCTGTTTAGCAAGACCACCGCCATGTCACAGTTCAATGTAAGCAATGAGAATCAGACACAGCTCAGGTTGATTGTGTAAATACCACAGCTTGAAGTGGGTTGTCCTTAGTATCAACTATCCACGTGGTGGCACGTGGTCTTGTGCACAGCACACAGAAACAAATCAGGTGAAGTTAAGCGACGATGGTCGCAGAGAGTCCTTGGATGTGTGACCGCATTTTGGCAGTTTGGCTCCTGAGAGTATCTAGGGTTTCGGTCCTGCACGACACTGAAGCACATGTAACACATGTGGTGTCTCCTTGGGCACGTGACTTTGTTTGAAATGTGCCTCTGTTCACCCAGCAGTGAATGGGTAAACGGTAGGATGAGATGGCAATGTGGTTGTTCACCTTCTAGCACCTAACGGGAAGCTGGGGTTAGGATGAGATGGTAATGTGGTTGTTCACCTTCTAGCACCTAACGGGCAGCTGGGGTTAGGATGAGATGGCAATGTGGTTGTTCACCTTCTAGCACCTAACGGGCAGCTGGGGTTAGGATGAGATGGCAATGTGGTTGTTCACCTTCTAGCACGTAACGGGCAGCTGGGGTTAGGATGAGATGGCAATGTGGTTGTAAACCTTCTAGCACCTAACGGGCAGCTGGGGTTAGGATGAGATGGCAATGTGGTTGTAAACCTTCTAGCACCTAACGGGCAGCTGGGGTTAGGATGAGATGGTAATGTGGTTGTTCACCTTCTAGCACCTAACGGGCAGCTGGGGTTAGGATGAGATGGCAATGTGGTTGTTCACCTTCTAGCACGTAACAGGCAGCTGGGGTTAGGATGAGATGGCAATGTGGTTGTAAACCTTCTAGCACCTAACGGGCAGCTGGGGTTAGGATGAGATGGCAATGTGGTTGTTCACCTTCTAGCACCTAACGGGCAGCTGGGGTTAGGATGAGATGGCAATGTGGTTGTTCACCTTCTAGCACCTAACGGGCAGCTGGGGTTAGGATGAGATGGCAATGTGGTTGTTCACCTTCTAGCACCTAACGGGCAGCTGGGGTTAGGATGAGATGGTAATGTGGTTGTTCACCTTCTAGCACGTAACGGGCAGCTGGGGTTAGGATGAGATGGCAATGTGGTTGTAAACCTTCTAGCACCTAACGGGCAGCTGGGGTTAGGATGAGATGGCAATGTGGTTGTAAACCTTCTAGCACCTAACGGGCAGCTGGGGTTAGGATGAGATGGCAATGTGGTTGTAAACCTTCTAGCACCTAACGGGAAGCTGGGGTTAGGATGAGATGGCAATGTGGTTGTAAACCTTCTAGCACCTAACGGGAAGCTGGGGTTAGGATGAGATGGCAATGTGGTTGTTCACCTTCTAGCACCTAACGGGCAGCTGGGGTTAGGATGAGATGGCAATGTGGTTGTTCACCTTCTAGCACCTAACAGGCAGCTGGGGTTAGGATGAGATGGCAATGTGGTTGTTAACCTTCTAGCACCTAACGGGCAGCTAGGGTTGTTTTCTCCCAGGGCAGCTTAGAATGATTTATTGACAAGAAGTCTTGCTTGACAACGGTATAAGGATCTGTACCGAAACGTCGCTTTTCACAGTATTAAAGAAGTTGTTCTCCATAAAATTGTGTCTACCTAGCTGAGAATGATTGTTGAGTGCACACTTATCCAGTGACCAGGGTAAGAAGTTTTTTGAGCATGCCCCTGTGTGGAGTGGAAATAAGCACAACATTATTATTATTATTATCCAGATACTATTGGCAGGGATTGACTTAGGCTGCGATTTCGCGATATTCTCCCATAGTTTTCATAGATACAGCATCAACATTCATTTGGTGAGATTGAAATCACATCTTTCAACAGATTCATCTGCATTGACACTTCATTTTCTCATACAAAAATATAAATGTTGTATTGCTTGAATAAAATTGTCTACCGTACCGGGAAAAAAAAAGATCAATAAAAAACTTACACAATGGTTTATTCAATCATCAAAAGTTGTCAATGGCATCACTGCATTCTACCTCTTACTGTGCATAACCGATTCCTATAATGCAGCAGCTAGATGGTGGGGCTGACAACATTGTTGAACCCTGATTGGTAAAACGAGTGTTTGTTTTTTCATCATAAGCACTTTGGTGGCTCACAAAATTCTTATTTCGTTTGAAACAGTGGTCTACAACACCCAAGTTATTCAACATATATTTTGTCACTTAATTCCTAGCAGAAATCAAGATGTAAATGTATGTACATCCGTGCAGAAATCAAGAGTTTAAAAAAAAGAAAAAAAAGCGGGTAAAGTTTCTAAACACAAGCAAATTTCAATATTGGAATGACAAAACAAAACCTTAATGGAAATACCTCCAACTTTTTCTCCATAAAAATAGGTACATATTTCAGATCACAGACGATCGATCGTATTTTAGATTATATTCGCCAAGCCTTTAGACAAGACGGTACTGGTGCTAGATTTTTCACGAACGTACCCTCGTGCAAGAATGGCCACTGTACGTGAATTACAAATATTTAACTATTTCTAGTGGCCAACAGCAAGTTAAATTCGGAGAATTCAGAATACCTTGGTTCCCTGCTTTGTCCATAAATATTTAAAAATATGACTCATAAACAAACATCGAGAACGTCAACAGTGTTTCCAACTTCCAGTTATGTCTCAGCCACAGAGGGTCTACAGCTAGGATAAGGCGGCCGTAGCCCCCAAGAGTCAACAGATTCCTGCGGCGGCCACAGAGGATCTACAGCTAGGATACGGCGGCCGTAGCCCCCCGAAACCAACAGGTTCCTGCGGCCGCCACAGAGGATCTACAGCTAGGATACGGCGGCCGTAGCTCCCCAACATCAACAGGTACCTGCGGCCGCCACAGAGGATCTACAGCTAGGATACGGCGGCCGTAGCTCCCCAAAGTCAACAGATACCTGCGGCGGCCACATTGGATCTGCAGTGGCCTCAGGGTCACCCTAGGGCGTGTCCCTTTCTTCAACAGGCTGTGGCATTATAGGGCACAGTTATAACTTTTTTAATTTCTATGTTGGTCATAGCAATTAGACACGCCGTAGCCATACTGTAGGGGGGTTCCATGGCGACCATACTCCGGGTGTACGGTGGCCTTGTGTTTGCCGTGCGTCTGCCCACGGGTCTTATGAATTACATTTGACTTTTGCTGACCTAGTGTCTCCTTGGTATTTGTCAAAAACCTACGGCCACCACAGGGATGCCCTAAGGCGACCGTGCGTCGGAATGTACATACGAATTACAAGAAACAATAACTAGACAACGAAGTCATCTATATCCCCCGCCCATTTTAACACGTTATGAAACGTAGAAAAAATATAATATTACTAAATAGCAAAAGGCACAACTTCAGTAGGTGACTGATAGATTTGCCAAGTTTCGATCAAATACACTGAATTGTTTTTGAGTTCTGCCGCAGAAAAGGAAATGATTATGGACAGACGGACGGACGGACGGATGGAGAGACAGACTGGCTGGGGGGGGGGGGGGGGGGGGGGGGGGGGAGAAATTACATAAATAGTCATGTAATTTCTCCTGAAGAATACAGACAATGAACAGAAATATGAATACTATTTTATTAAATACTAATGTATTGTATTTAAATATTTGCAGTGAAATAATTAATGTTTCAAAATAGGATATCCGCAGACATATCTATATAAGCTAGTAACATTAATCGCAACATAAGTCAAGTCACAAATACAAAAAATCAAATACAGTTTCCTCCGTGTGAAAATAAAACATTTCTGAAAATTTGCAAAATCTCATCTCACTCCTAAAATTTAAGGGTACAAATTTCCAGGACAATCCCTGTAACGGTTCATAGTTGATCAATACCCTATGAAGATTCACAATGGCTGATAATCAAACAAATATCTTTGCAACTTACCGAGATTTCTTCTTCTTCTTTTTGGGAGGAGGGGACGGAGATCTTTCTTCTGAATCAGAGCTTTCTACAGTCCTGTAATCACAATGTAACACATCAGGCATTGGAAATACATTCTTCAGAATAACAGACAAATGATCAGGAATTCCAATATCACACACGACATAAACAATCAGTGTCACACACGACATAATCAATCAGTGTCACACACGACATAAACAATCAGTGTCACACACAACATAAACATTCAGTGTCACACACGACATAAACAAACAGTGTCACACACGACATAAACAAACAGTGTCACACACGACATAAACAATCAGTGTCACACACAACATAAACAATCAGTGTCACACACGACATAAACATTCAGTGTCAGACACGACATAAACATTCAGTGTCACACACAACATAAACATTTATCTCATACCCAGTATATAACAAGAAAGGAAAGGGTTTGTCTCTGACCAAGCATATAACAAGATGGGAAAGGGTTTATCACATACCCAGTATAAACAAGATGGAAAAGGGTTTGTCTCTGGCCAAGCATATAACAGTATGTAACAAGATGGGAAAGGGTTTATCTCATTCCCAGTATGTCACAAGATGGGAAAGGGTTTCTCTTTGGCCAAGTATATAACAAGATGGGAAAGGGTTTGTCTTTGGCCAAGCATATAACAAGATGGGAAAGGGTTTATCTCATACCCAGTATATAACAAGATGGGAAAGGGTTTATCTCATACCCAGTATGTAACAAGATGGGAAAGTGGGAAAGGGTTTATCTCATACCCAGTATGTAACAAGATGGGAAAGGGTTACCAGTGGCTTATTACTTTATGATTATATGACAAAGAATGTTCCTCACGAGTATTTCCTTTGTGCCATGGCAAGCGCTTTGGCAGCTTCTTCCTTGGCCTTACGGTTGGGGTCGAAGGCACTCCCCTCAACATAGTCCCCCAGGCCAAAGGCATCTCGCAGTTTGGCATTCTTCTCATGGTTGGCCTCGGCCAGCTGATGTGTCTCCTTCGCTCTGAAATACAACAGCAACAATAAGACACATGTGACACATGTGACACTAGAAACACAAAACACTGCCGATCAAACATTGCACCTGAAGATAAAAACTGAAGATCAAACACTGCACCTGAAGATAAAAACTGAAGATCAAACAGTGCACCTAAGATCAAACAGTGCACCTAAGATCAAACAGCGCACCTAAGATCAAACTCTGCACCTAAGATCAAACACTGTGGTAGGGTAGGGCTGCAGTCATACAGAATGGAACAACTATGCATCCATTTACAAAATGCTTAATGTTATGCAAAATATCTTTATTGACTGTGATCAATGAGTGTCTTCAAGAAGATGGATATGTTATATAAGGTGATGTTATCATGCAGGTGATGATCATCTGGTCAATAGTATCAGTAGAAGATCAACAACACACACCTGATTGCTGTCTCTATGATGAAATGCTGAATTCACAAAAAAATTCCTATTTCTTAATCTACCAATTAACCTCCTAAAGCATGTTTCCAAACATGTCATATGTCAGCTGATTTTGGATAGAAGAGGCAGTCACATCTGGAGAGATTAGGACCAAAAAATGTTTCTTGTTACGCATTTTTACACAATTCTTCACACGCACATAGAGAATCTCAACTGAGTGTCTTTTGATATCAAATATATCAACATGAGTTGATAAAAGTGGAAACACTCCCAGACTTGCCGAGGAGTTTTTTCACTTTTATCAACAAAACACTCGGGTAAGATTTTATTTATCATCCAACATCATTCTTCCATTTTTTTCAATAAAAAGCAGTGTCTTAAGTGTAAAACAATACTGCTAACAGCTTCAGTAGCAGAGCCATTAGTGATGTCATTTGATTGTGACATCATGGTAACCAATGACGTCATAAAGGTTTGCAAAGCATTGTGATGTAATTTCATTGCAGCGATATTGATCTCACACAAGTGATATCTCCTGTTGGAGCCCGTTTTGGATGATAAGTGTATGTTACAGACGCGAGTTGTTAGCTGATCAGTTGGGTACAACCAGTGACATTCAATCGTCAACTAAGAAGTATCCAGAACCACTCTCTGCAACATTTCAATTCGACTTTTACAATCACCCCCCTGGCACCCACATTACGGACCGTCCACTGGGCGGGGAAATGGGCAATCTGGGCCGCAGAGACCCGACACATGCACTCACCCTTATTACCTCACACACACACAGAACATCTCCACACTGCTACTGTACAGAAGAAGCTGTTGTGTCAGGGCTGTCTCACTGAATTGTGTCTGAGTAGAAGTAGGTTCCTGGACAATAAACCACACTCTGGCCATTACCTACTTAAACTGTCTCCGCTGTGACTTAGTGACTGAGCAGCTTTCATATACTCTGGGACTGACTGACTGACTGACTGACTGACTGACTGACTGACTGACTGATATTCCTGTTATATGACGGCGACCTTTACTTTGTTTGGTTGTTTGTTGTTTAACACAGCACTCAGCAATAATCTCGCTATATAAAGTTGACCTTCTCTTTGTTTGTTTGTTTGTTGTTTAATGCAGCACTCAGCAATAATCTCGCTATATAAAGTTGACCTTCTCTTTGTTTGTTTGTTTGTTGTTTAATGCAGCACTCAGCAATAATCTCGCTATATAAAGTTGTCCTTCTCTTTGTTTGTTTGTTGTTTAATGAAGCACTCAGCAATTGTCCCGCTATATGCCGGCATCCTTCACTTTTGAGTTTCACTGTGCCTTTGATCACCATCCCAGTAGTTTCAATATCCAAGGCAAAATTTGTTTCGCTTCACAATTGATAAACTTCTTTGGAAAGTATTCATGGAAGAGCAACCCACTCACTGACCGAGTGAGCATCAATCGATTCACTCCGTGAGCATGATAGAACGAACCCTGTGACTGATAGCCAACCATCTGTGAAGGGAAATAAATCTTCACTGGATTCAAACAATTGCTTAAAAACTTAATATCGGTTAAATTTCGGTTTTCATGAAATTTTTCAAAGTTACAAACAAGCGGGAGCCCAATTTCATTAAAATCAGATCTTAGTTCTCGCAACCGCTAAACAAAGATCTGAGGACATCCCATTACGGGTCACGTCAGACCGACCTTGCACGAACTTTGACGACCAATGGAATGACCAATCAGAAGGCAGCTTTCTCGTGCTTTACGGCACAAATTTCAAATTGGCGACTAAGCTTCGAAACATATTTTGGCAAATTCTCTATTACAAATTTGAAACCGGAACAAAAGAACATTCTGGATTGGCTAATAGATGGTCTAGATTGTATGGATTCAGTCGTTTAAACCCGTAACTATCGTTTGGAGTTAAAGTTTTCGAAGTTGCATGATTAGAAATCACATTCCGACTGACACTTTCATAATCTGGTAAGCGACGCTCTGATTGGTCGGATGAAAGGTCGTTCTGACGTGACCCCTAATGGGATGTCCTCAGATCTTTGTTTAGCGATAGCGAGAACTGAGGTCTGATTTTAATGAGATTGGCGGGAGCCATTCTCCGACATACCTACCCCATCTGATTGAAAGTAGTGCACATTGAAAGTAGTGCACATTGGAAGCAGTGCACATTGAAAGTAGTGCACATTGGAAGTAAGGCAATCTCATTCTTGGGATCCAGTTTCTCTCATCCCATTAGACACCACTGCATTATTCCCCTTGATCTACTAAAACATGTCATCAACATACCCCGGGACACACACCAAGTGACAAAGCAAACAAGACAAATGTCCTTTCTGACATCAATACAAGATCAGCTTACTGATGTGACACACTGACTGTCATTGGAGTACACTGCATAAATATCCACACTGTGTGACATGGCATGTCGCAGGAGGTTTATTTCTTTTTATAATTGTGACCACATCATGAAGCTGACAGGGAGGTTGTGACCACATCATGACACCGACAGGGAGGTTGTGACCACATCATGAAGCCGACAGGGAGGTTGTGACCACATCATGACACCGACAGGGAGGTTGTGACCACATCATGACACCGACAGGGAGGTTGTGATGACAGGGACGTTGTGATGACAGGGAGGTTGTGACCACATCATGAAGCCGACAGGGAGGTTGTGACCACATCATGACACCGACAGGGACGTTCGCTCCCACGGTGGAGCTTCTGCAACTGCACGTGTCCTCTACAAGAGCCAGGGGCTGGTCCACATAGAGAAGTAAACTCTGAGACGATCGTAAGGAGAATATTTGAACACAAACTGACAACAGTCATAGCACTAAGACGATTGTAAGGACAATACTTAACACTGACTCGTGACAGTTGTAGTGCTAAGACGACTGTAAAGCCTATTCTTTGATGCTGAATTATGACAGTCGTTAGGCTAAAATCACTTTGTGGAACTGGACGGAGACAGCTGAGTTGAAACATTATTCCACAATGACACTGAGTGCGATGACAATACAAGATTCTACCGAATCTGCTTAGAATCACAGATGAGAATAGGTCGTAAAAACACTTTTAGGTTTTTTAGGGCATTATCCTTTGCAGGAGCCCGAGGTCTTCCATTAACTGCCCGACGAAGGTGCGTTATCATTATTATAGCAAAAATGGATAGAATTTGTTATCAAATAAAAACTAACGACAATATCGGTTTTACTGCAATCAACACACAACAAATGTCACTGACTCACTTTTACAAATATGGAAAAGTCATAGAACAAAACAGGATGACGTCACTATTGAACAAAAATATGACGTCACCTAACAACGGGCGTGATAATGGCCCGTCGTCATACAATATGAGGGCATTATCAAGTTACAGTGGCCGCTCATTTCTGATAACATGCAGGTGGTTTAATAACAATTCTATCCATTTTAGCTATAATGAAAGTTAGCCAGGGACCTGGGGGACTATATGATTTATGTGTATCTTGTAGTGACCCTTCACATAACAATATATGCAAAATTCCGCTGTAGAATTCCCAGTTTGAGTGAATAGTATTTTAGTTTCAGGGCTTGAAATATTCCATCAATCTCTAAATAATCAGGGATGGGTCGTGCACACTAGAGAACTTTACCAATCAAATAGTCACAACAAATATGCACACCTGCGTCAAGTCCCCCCAAATATTGAATTTCTATTTGTTCCCACTTTTCCAACGGCTGAATGTTGTTTTAATCATGGATTAGTGGTGAGCTGTCTGTTTCAACTGAACACCACTCACTGGCCAGCTCTGATCTCTAAGCCAGTGTTTGTTTGTTTGTTTGTTGTTTAATGCCGCACTAAGCAATATTCCAGCTATATGATGGCGGTCTATAAATAATCAAGTCTGGACCAGACAATCCTGTGATTGACATCATGAGAATCGATCCACGCAATTGGGATATGATGACATGCGACCTGACAGCGACCTGACCACCCAATCCCGTGAGTGGCTTCATACGACTCAGCCAGTGGGTGGTACTATCATTATAACTTACTGTGTTAGAGCACACTTCATTATAAAGAGTGGACGATATCTAACCCTAATTATACATAATGGTATCACTGACAACTAGGGCTTCAACGAATATACTATGAGGCGAATACGATTCATATCATGAATATAGGGTAACAAATACGAATATTAATTCACGAATACAATAACAAGTCAGCAGCTGAAGTATTATTTGTTATATTCAGTGAAACAAAATCATACATAAATTATTTGACATGGTTTGTTAACTATTAATATATTATACATCTACATACTGCACTTATCCGAGTTTTAGTATCTGCTCAAATGCAACAATGACCAGTGACCACATTACTGTCAAATTAAATATTATAAGAGTGTTGCCTTTGAAGAAATTTATGCGTATATTTCTTATGGATATATTTAGGCACGTAAATGCACATGCATGATTGCATATTCATTAATATACAATTCTAGTGGCCACGAATAACAAATTTAATTCATGAATGGATACGGTTTGATTCACAGAATATGTGAGTAAATCCTAACAGCCCTTCTGACA